AAAATTTAAAAAAAATAACCTATCTAAATAATTTTAAATAATTAAATTAATAAATTTATTATATTTAACTGCTTATTAGCTGCTTACCAACTGCTTGTGCACTGCTTACTAAGTACTCAATATTTTAAATATTATTAAAATAATTTAAATAGTAAGTTTTATTATTATAAATTAGTATTTTTAAACTACCTGCTAAGTACTTGCCAAGTACTTATTATTTTAATTACTAAAATTATTATTATTATAATTATAATTATAATAATTATTATTACTAATTACTTGCTAACTGCTTGCTAACTGCTTGCCAAGCAGTTTTTATTTTAAATATTATTTTAAATATTTATACTTAACTATTTAAATATTAAAATTATTAATATTATTTTTAACTGCTTGCCAACTGCTTGTCAAGCAGTCTTTTAAATATTATTTAAATTATTTAATTTAAATTATTATTATTATTATTTACTGCTTGCTAACTGCTTGCCAACTGCTTGCCAAGTAGTTTTTATTTTAAATATAATTTAAAATTAACTATTTAAATATTTAAATTTATTAACTGCTTGCCAACTGCTTGCCAAGCAGTCTTTATTTTAAATATTCTTAATTTTAATTTTTTAAATATTTAAATTTATTAGTATTATTATTAACTGCTTGCCAACTGCTTGCCAAGCAGTCTTTATTTTAAATATTTTTAATTTTAATTTTTAAATATTTAAATTTATTAGTATTATTATTAACTGCTTGCCAACTGCTTGCTAAGCAGTTTTTATTTTAAATAATTAATTTTAATTATTTAAACTTAACTATTTAAATATTTAAATTTATTAGTATTATTATTAACTGCTTGCCAACTGCTTGCTAAGCAGTTTTTATTTTAAATATTTAATTTTAATTATTTAAACTTAACTATTTAAATATTTAAATTTATTAGTATTATTATTAACTGCTTGCCAACTGCTTGCTAAGCGCTTATTAACTGCTTACTAAGTATATATATATATTTTTTTTATAAAATAAATAAATAAATATTATAATAAATTACTGTACTATATTGTAATATGTTAGATGCGCGGTAATTTATTTTTTTGGCAATATTACACGTGACTGCCAAGACTCAAAGATTACATAACAGAGGCTCATGTGAGCGTTCGGAATGTCCCAGGTCACCTCAACCCTCGTTGGTCACGGGTATGGGTTGCTATCACGATGCAGATATCAGCCGCCATTTGGTTTATTACAGCCAGTGCCCGCGCTCTCTGTGCGATCTGCTCAGAAGAGAACTCTTCAATCTGCGCTATCGATGTCACAATCACCTCGTTGACAAGCAAGCGGCCTAAGCTGTAATGAAGCAGTACCCAATGGGCCCAGGCGTCCTGGTAGACATGATACTGCCCGTAGAACGTTCCCGGCATGTCCTTGTCCGCAGCTTCTTTGATGGTGCAAGAGCGATCCGCTGGGAGACGATCTTTCCACGACTGGAGTTGCTTTTCAAGGTCGACTGCTTTGCGCAGCGCTACTTCTGCTTTGGCTTCTTGGTTGAACCGGAGACTCGAGCGCAAGCGAACGAACTCGATGAGAATGTCGATTAATTCGCAAGTCTGCTCATTACCCTGGAGCACCGCCGGTCGCTGGATTGGCCAGCGATTTAGTTCAGCTGGAAAAGGCCCTGAAACGTGGAAATTATCCACAATCACAGCCAGGTAATACCACGACTCTGCGCCGGCATCGAGCTTCAACCGCTGAGCAAAAGAGGATTGTTTCAGGAGCGCAGCAATTCCTGCTAGGTGTGTCCGGCGTGAGGATAGCGATCCGGGCTTCTCGTCGACCGTCTGTTATCATGAGTTATCGGGCCTCCATTCACTCTTTCGCGGAAACTGACCTCGAAAACTGCCATTGCTATAATCACATAGAATAGCGACTCCATATCACCGCGCGACTGATTCGTGACAAAGCTTCGAACTGACTTGAGCGTTGTTCCGTATCGCTGTCGAGCCAGGGTCAACATCGAGGGGTCCCTATTGACGTTGGACAGGGTCGCCAGTCCGACAGGAACGACTGCATTTCGGAAAGAGGCATTTGTCTGCATGATACGAAGCATATGTTGCTGGAACCCACGGGGAAAAACCTTCTCGGTACCAGGCTCACAGGTGTACTGCCGGTAGCAGAATTGCAAACCTAGGTTATCAATGTCCAAGGAAGTCATAGGCATGGGCCGGCTCGGGACAACCGCGGTTCCAGAGTCCAGTCTAGAGAATGTGGCATTCTCTGGCTGACTGTTAGAAGCTTGTCTGTCTTTACCTGCCTGTGCTTTCACTCGCGAACGTTCGTGCGCTGCTTTAGCCCGGCGAATGATTCGTTCGTTCTCATCTCGGAATAAAAGCGAGACTTCGTCGCGGTAGCCGGTGCATTCCTTGTGTGCTCTCTTGCATTGCGAGCACTCTGGCCTAGCACGGTCACACTGATGCCATTAGCATTTGGCTCGAAGACTCGATCGGGATCGGTCTGATGCAAGTACTCCATCGGTACCTACTTCTGCAGGCTGGCTTTAGTGCTTACCTTGATCCGTCGCTGCCGACACGGCAAACAGTTTTGACTGGGTAGACAATGGAAAGTCATCTTCGATGCACGAGTCTAGTGATGTCTTGAAAGGAACAGTAACTTGCCGGACTATGAGCTGACGATATAAAGGCATCGAGCCGAGCCCCTTTACTAGTTGGCCTATCCATCTAGCAACTTAGGCCAAGGAAGCGCGCTATGCCTAACTCGCCAGTTCTTTGTTCACCTCCGGCCAACCACGCTGTGAATCACATCTAGCATGATATAGATAAAGCTAATTTTGATAATATCAACACCTGAATGCACAGGAAACTGACAAATCCAACTGTCCTGTCCCCAACGCCAACCGGAACCGCAACAGCCAGCCCAGGCTTCTGGATGCGATCAGCCGTTGCTAGGCGCGGGTACCGCGGGGAAAGTGGGTCAGCCCAACAAATTTGACCTCTCGACCTTCCAGGCTTCATCCAGTTGTCAACCTCCCAGACTCCGACACGGGTAAAATCCTAGAGCTAGGCCTTCGCCCAAAATGGCCGACGTCGCGCTTGAGAACCCGCCAATCCACTACCGATCCATTTTCCTCTTCCTCTTCTACCTGTCTCTAATCCTTTCCCTTGCTTTCACCTGCTGTCGCACCATATACGTTCGGTATCAAGCACGGCAGAAGAACAATGATTGGGCCACTGGGCGGCGAACGCATCTATGGCTATTTATTTTCCTGGCTGCCATGAGCCTCGGTTCGACATGGTACTACATGATCTCGCTCTTCATCCGCACGTACGATGACTGGGCAGCTAGTCCGCAGGGAATCCCCTATGCAGGCAAAGACACGCCTCTGATCACCCGACTGGGCCTCTGGCTCTACAACACGTATATCTTCCAAACAGCCTGGGAAACCGTATCCGAGACGCCAGCGCGAGTCTGGTGGAGCGGGCAGATCTTCGGGTGGACGATTGGGTGGAGTCTTTTCCTCGGTGTTATGGGTATGTACATCACAGTTCATCCTTATCACGAAGCGTCTGTTGAACAAGAAGACTGACGACATAAGGCCGACGATACCGCATCCCCCACATCTGGGTCTTCATGCTCCTAGCCCAAGCCGTCGCCGTCTCCTTCTCAGCAAACCTCTTCTTCGCGGCCGTGGCCGTCTCATCACGCGTCGACGAGAAAACACTCGCTTTCGCCTGGTCCCCGCCGCTCCTCTACGAAGCTGTCCCAGTTGCCCTTTCACTCCTCGACACCCTCGCCGTCCCGATCTTCGCGTACCAGAAGGAATTCATGCTCATCCTGCTGGCGCCGCACTTCCTAGTTTTTATCCCTACGTTGCTGGGCCCGGGCCCGAAGGACTCGAGCGAGCCCACGACGAAAGCGCAGGGAGCGCGCGCGACCCGGCGCTACGTTGTCCTCATGCAGTGGGTTGCGGCGGCTTCGGTGGTACTCCAGGCGTACTTTACTTTCCTGGCGAGGCGGGAACTGGGCACGGAGCTGTCGTTTGGTGAGTTTGCGAGGAAGCTCTGGGACACGGTCTATGTGCACCCGGCTTGTAGCAGTGTCAGCTGGGATGCGATTATGAGTGCCGTGAGCGCGTTTTTCTGGGCGCTTGTGCATGGGTTTGATTCGAGGAGGATGGTTGGTGGGCTGTGAGTTCTCGGTCATTCAAGTACGGTGGATCGTGTGGATGATTGGGGTCAAGAGGAGCGCTCAAAGGGCTACTATATCATGGTCTGGAATTGTCAGTTGGTGGGTTTGAGCAGGCAATGGTGCGCGGCGTTTGAGCTTTGAAATGGACACTGTAAGTAGAGACGCAGGTAGATTTCCGCGATTAGCCATTCAGGAAATATGCCAACAGTTCGCCTTGAGCCCGGACTCGGACCGGGGCGGCACAAGACAGCCGAAGCCTCCTAGGAAGTCGTCTTTCTTTTTTCTCCCTCCGATCCGTTGCTGGTGCACGAGTGGCCTCCCCGGGGCCAAGTTTCGTGTTCTCTCGACTGTTTGCATGACTGAACCCTGCAAAGGAAAAAGCAAACATACCCAATCCATCTCTCTTACGCCATCTGAGAGGCTGCTTGCAGTGCCGCTTGGACCCCTCTTTGGTCGCTTACGTCGTGTCCCTGTTGAAGCTAGCCAGCGGCACTCCCATCCGCCTTCGTTTCCTTTCTTCCCCGACCAATTTCAACTATATCCAGAACATCCTTTAGCAGGCCTTGAACTCACCCACAAGCTCCCAAGATGGCCGATAGCCCAGCCGTGCAAGTGCTCGCCGTCCCAGACCCAGCCCTCCTCCAAACGCCCCCATCGCGCTCTCCACTCCAATCCCTCCAAGATGGCCTGATCCTGGAGCCTCTCCGAGACTGGTATGGCAGCCTGATCGACTACAAGCCATCGCCGGCAAGCTGGGTCGTCACAAAAGTCGAGCACATGAAGAACTTCCACTTCTCCGCATTCATGCACGAGTTCCTGCGGGTTACAGTGCAGAATACGGCGGCGGAGATCCCGCAAGACGAAAAACCCGCGTACGTTATCTTGGAGCGCGACAGCCAGAACAGCGATTGGGCGGCCGTTGGCTGGAGATGGGTGCAGCCGCCCCGGCTGAGCGGCTGGTGGATCGAGAGGTTGGTACTGGGATACTTTGCCGGACCTACAACGGCGGATTCGGAGCAATCGGCGCACTGGAAGGCAATCGGGTACTCGGGGTCGGATTTCCTGTGCTCGATTGTATTTGCGGGCGGGGGCGTGCCGCTTCTAGAGTTCGCGGATGAGCTGGTCCGGCTGAGCGAGATGGTGCCCCGATACTCTATCCTCGCGGCTGGGAACTACTGGTACGCGCTGACGGTGTATGAGGGGCTAAGGGAGAGATGGGCAGGTTCAGAACACCGGGGTGAATATTACACGCACAGAGGGCGGTTTGCCGGGATTCGCTGGGGCTCGCCGGTTCTGGCTGACTTGAGGGAGCATCTACTGTGGATATTGGCCTTTGCTGGCCTTGTCATTGTCCTGGCCGTCTTCTTGAACGGGCTGCTATGATTTCTGTGGGCGTGGAGTCCTGCCCGAGATTGAAACGTAGGTATATGTCTAGAGTATCAATATCAATCTTTATCCAGCGCACTATATAACCACCCTTGTTGTTTTACCAGAGGATTTGCTATCCATTTCGCCACCTAAGGAGCAAGACATAATAATGTTAATGAATCCTTTTCCTTTTGCCCTAAGGAAGTGGGAGGGAGCCTACCAAATCAACAATGCGAATACTCAACCCAGCAAACTTCCCCCGATGCCTCGCGTACAAACGCGGCGTCTCAACATACACCCAGCCCGCTTTAAGCTCCTCATATATCTTCGCCGCAAACCAAAAGCAGTTTTTATCGGTGGGATCGTAAGCTGCCCCAGCCCGACTAGCCGCATCCAACACGCCCGCAAACTCACCGAGCGGCACGCCGGGCGCCGGGAACTCCAGATCGTACAGGTTGTCGCTCCCCGAGTACCCGATCGCTCGCCAGTGCGTTACGGCCGATGAGCTGTTCAGCAGGGCCACGCCGCCGTGCGCCGGGTCGCTGAAGTACCCGAGGAAGAGACGCTTGAGCCACCAGCCTGTCAGCGGGGGGTGCGGGACCCGTTTCCAGCCAAGGGTCACTTCGTCGCCGTCCTTCATGCGCTCGACGAAAATGTGGATGGAGGTGGTGGCCGTGCTGTTGTCGCTGTCGCTGTTGTGTTGTGCCGGTGGTCGTTGTTGGACCGTGACGCGGAGGCTCTCGTGGAGGACCGCGGAGAAGTGGAAGTTCTTCATGTGCTCGACTTTTGTCACGGCCCAGCTGGAGAGTTCGTTGGAGTCGGCCGCGATTATTTTCTCGTGCCATTCTTGGAGGGGGAATGTTCTGAGATGCGGGGAGGTCAAGTAGGGGTGCTGCGAGGATGGCTTGTGGCTCTCCATGGCCTGGATGCTAGGATCCAGCTGTTTGTATAGATAGGACTTGACTGGATAGAGAAATGGCAGTATGGGAAAGACTTTAATGTGAGAAGAGATAGCAGCGTTACACGGCCTTGGCTTGGGCTTAACTGATTGTTCATAGAAGGCTCACTGATACCTGACGGTGGAGCCAGATTTATTTTGATTGGAGGAGCAGAAGTGAATGATGCATTGACAGGCACAGGCCTTGGCTGAATCATTTGGTGTTCTTATTCAACGATGATACTTGGCCAGACCTGGAGGGAAAATCACACTTGGCTCTTAACTGTAAACATTCAATTCAATAGATCCTTTGTACTATTTCTATTGTTCTAGCTTTTCTAGCGAGAGGCCAGGTCCGGGATAGCCTCCAGCACTCAATGACTCTGGACATCTCCTTGTCCCACATTCTTGCAGATTCTCTGCAGCAAGACGGAAGAGGCAATAAAAAACCCGATATAAAAAGCAAAAAGGGAACCACACAAATAGCAATCTGCTTGTATCATAATTATCAGAATCTGACCAAAACACGATTGCCGATGAAAGGGAGAAGCGCCAAATCCAACCTACCTTAGCCCGTGGATCACCGAACGACAACCCCGAAGTAGGATAGACGATGAATACCAAAAGGCCCAAAAGGTAAAGGAATATGGAGTAGCTCAGCATCTGAATGGGCGCCTGGAGCACGAATACCACTTTCAGAGAGGGCAGGTTGTCGTCTCCAAGCACCGCGGTGTTAAGTGATCCGCCGTTATGGATCTTTGCCAGAACGCAGCCCAGCGCGGATGACTGCTGGAATGCCATCACGGCGGATACTACGGCCATGACAATCCCATTGTACCAGAACGCGGTGATGACCCAGTGGGCTGTGTCTGCTCCTGGCCAACTTAGGCTGGTTGCGATCACAGAGGCAACGAGGGCTCCCTGGGGGTGTAATGGGTGTTAGTCACATTTGCGGCCCTGTAATGATGGGAAAGGGTTGAATCTTCTTGAGAAACTCACGATTGTCGCTGTGAAGTTGAGCTCGTTGATTTTGGTCTCCACCCACAGCTTTGCTTCTTGATCATCGATGCCTTCTGCGCAGATGACTTTGAGGGTGTTGTATGAGGTCACCCAGGTGTATCCAAAGCAAGTTGCTAATGTCTCGAAAGTGGTTTTCATCGTCTCTGCTCAATGATCGATTAGGCATCGAATTTTAGTAGAAAAAAAAAAGGCTCTGATGCTAAGGATTTGCCGACGAGGATATTGATTGATAGTTGTCCTCCTGTTTGTTTTGTTTCTGAGGTCAGCAGATAGGTATATATTTGTTTTTTAGTATGTGTTGCAGTTCCTCCGGATACCGATACCGCTGCTTATACTCTTATTTTTTTTATAACCCTAGCACTAAAATCATCTGAGCTACTATGAGAGTAGGGCGGAGTATCTATTTGATTCATAGCCATATTTCTATTTACAGGTACCGTACACAGGCATCTCACAAATACAATCCGGATTGCTCGGCTCGGGTCGAAATCACCCCAATGACTCCAGAGTCAGACCAACAAGACTCCAATCAGTGCGAGTTATCTGAGAGTGTGACAAAGAATGTGTGATCTGCTAATACACACCTCTGTATCCTTGTCACTCAGCTGCGCCAGCTCATCAAAGAATCCTACCCAAGGAGAGCAGCACATAGACATTTTATAACAAGTGCAAGTGTTCGTTTTCTTTTCAACCTCCATATCCAGACTCACGATTCGCTACTGACAAGTCTAGTCAAGCACTAACATCACGTGTCCGGCCAAGAAAGATGATATCCCATCCTCCTTTCTCGCAATTCCACCCAAGACACCATAACGAGTTCAATGCCTGGCCCACTACACCGGGGCCCCGGATTACTGGAGGTCAAGCTCGGCTGGGCATACCGTCTGGATCTACCAGATGAGTGCGAACAATGGCGACTGTATGCGATCACCTCATACGAAGGCACCCAGGAGTCTACCGAAGCGCTGGCTATCTCCTCCGAGAAGAAGTCTGTTTCCTGGATCGCTTGGCACCAGCCATTTCGGTTTGAGGTCTCTGCCTCTCCATCTCGGGATTTGACGATCTCCGTATTTGCGAGAGCCTTGTGCGAGGGGTCTGAAAATCAAGTCATCTCGCTAGGACTCATCACACTGGACCCGTTCTCGCTCGCCTCGGAAATGCAAAAGCTGGATATACAGAATGGCACGGGGAAAATGGAAGTCCAGGTTTTGTACACGCAGAAGGAGCCGTCTTCCCTCGAGGCGAGGGAAGTTTGGGATATTCTTGGGGAAAACAGTGCTGGCCTTATCTGTGTCGAGAAGAAAGACACAGGTCGATCCTATGGCATGGAGACCATTGACGTCCGGAGCACTGCCGTTGATACGGAGACCCTCCAAGCTACCATCGAGCACCCATTTATCGCACCTCTCAAGTTTGTTTTCAGAGCCGATCCCCAGCTGAAACTCCTTTCGCCGCTGTCTAGCGGGGGATATCTTTTCGACCATCTGCAAAGAGAGCGAATATTCGATGTTAGCAAAGCTAGATTCTACGCTGCAGAGCTGGTTTGTATCTTGGAATTCTTGCATGGCAGGAATATCGTTCTCGGGTCTCTGGAGGCAGAGAATATATTACTTGACGTGGTCGGGCATATCAGTTTATGCAAGCCTAGCCTTTACAGCTTGAAGTTATCATCAGCTGGAGGAGATGAAGATTGCATTTGCCCTGGCACGTCCCAGTATCCACCACCTGAAACCATCCTAGATGACAAGGTGTCCCGAGCTGGCGACTGGTGGGCTCTAGGAATCATCCTCTCTGAGATGTTGATGGGCCTGCCGCCATTCTATCACAAGAACGATACAGACAGGCGGCGAAAAGTCCTTCACCAAGAGCTCCAACTACCTGAAAGCATGCCCTCCACCGCGAGGGACATTCTAGCCGGTCTCCTTCATAAAGACCCCGCTCGACGCTTAGGTGGGAATGGAGTCTCCGAGATAAAGGCTCACCCGTTCTTTGAAGATGTGAACTGGGACGGATGTGTCCCGGCAAACCATGCAACTCCTTTCAAGCCTCACGGTATTACGGTTCACCTCCGGGGCGAACTCCAACCCAAGCAGCCTTCCAGAGCTTCAAATAACGAATTTCGGGTCAAGGAGGGAGAGGTGTACGAGCAGCTAGGGAGCGATGATTGGCCTTTATGGATACCGAGGGGCCAGGTTATAGACAAGAACGGTCCAGTCTCAATAGAGACCAGGGAGAACGAGGAATGGGAGCTCGTGCAGGACCCAGCAGATGAAGAGTTCTATTTCTGGAACCGCCTCACTGGCGAAAGGGTCCTGGCCTGCCACGAATCATTTACGCAAGCGTTAACTGGACAAGCCCTTCCCAGCATACGCAAGCAGGCAGCACTCGCAGCCGCCTTGCAAGCTGGATACAAGCAGCAGGTATTCTCTCATCTCCTCAGGTACGGGGTCGATTTGAACGTCCACATCCTCGACCATGACGAAACGATCAACAAAACAACCCCCGACGGCATCGAGTACAAGCCCGACATCCTAAACATCATACCCGTAACACCACTAGAATGGGCAGTCGAGCACAAAAGAATCGACCTCGCCACCCTCTTTCTGGACAACGGCGCAGACCCAAATTACACCGTCGCCCGCCGACACGGACCCGCGCTGATCAAAGCAGTGAAGCAGAGGGCCCAGGATCTCATTGAGATCCTCGTGCATCGAACAGACCGCGTCTCCTGCACCCGGGCCCTCGGCCGGGCCGTCGAGACGGGCGACCTCACAAGCGCCACTACGCTCCTCGCACACGGTGCGCTTTGTGACTTCAAAGAAGGCGATCGCCCTGCCCCGCCTCATCCCTGGTATCACGATTACGACTCGCTGCTATACCGGACGCTCGAAGCGCCGGACTTGACTCCGCCTCTTGTCCGCGCTGCAAGGACAGGCAATGCGCGTGTGGTCGAGCTCCTCCTGAGCCACGGCGCCGATGTCAACGCCGCGTATCATGACCTTGGTGGCCTTGAAAACGAGACTGACACCCGGGACTCGGCGATCCCAGCGTCTTTTCCCTGTGGCCGAGTTGTTTATCTGGCGATGGAGATGGGGCATATTGAGGTAGTGAGGTTGCTTGTTGATGCTGGTGCTGATATTGATCTGGAACATTGTTTCTGGCGGGTTTTGGGACATACGTGTGTGCCTGCGCCGAGGTCGGTGTATCTTGGGGTTAGGGCTGGCTTGGAAGCAGCGGTGGTGGAAAGAACAGCAATAGTGAGGATGACTTGAGTAGCAACCTTCAGGACGAAAAGGTTGATTCAAAATCTGATACGGAAATAAGATAAGTCCAAGTACCCTAACTATAGGACACCCAGACATTTGAACATATACCTGTACTCCAAACTCCCCAAATCACCAAATTGTGGAAATATTGCACCGCGACAACCGGGAAAACAGTATCAGCCTAAGAAGGCCTGCCTCAATAACTCAATGAAATAGATCAAAGTGACATGTCATCTAAAGGAGCCTCGCCCCTCCGCCTCAACCAGTGCTTTCAACGTATGAGGTGTCAAAGAACCAGTGACATCCCAGCCATAGATCTGCCACGCGAATATCTTCAATTCCGCCACAACGGACTGGCTCCCGTAGTACGCAAAGATACTCGTCTCGTTGACCTTCCCGTTGAGATCGCTCCATTCATTCCGCAAGCCGTAGTTCACGCAGTCCACGACATCGGAATACGACCAGTCATCAGGCAGCAGCCCGTACCGTCGCTCTACAAGCCGTAGAAATCGGCTGAAGCCGGCATACCCGTCGCTCACTCCCGAGGCGTAGATGCTGTCTTCGTCGGCGTGACCCTGCAGAGCCCACTGGTTGTACATGCGCAGACGGTAAGTGTCAATCAGCAGCTTGTAGACGTCATCGTACGGGCGATCGTGCAACCAGGTTTTACTCTGGAGCTTGTGGTACGGGTTCTCGATGACGGCTAGAAGATTCCTCGGACGGATGAACGGGTTCAATCGTTCGGCGGAGTTGCGGCCGCAGACTTTCTTGTGCGTTTTCCAGTCGGCTGTTTGGCAGTGGCGCGAGCAGTACCAGGCCATGCTGCATTTGGCGCAGCGCTTGAAGGGGGGAGCGGTGGTTCCGCGCTTTTCGCATTTAGTGCAGGCTTGGATGGTCGCGGCGACTTTGACGGCCTCCGAGGTCTGGACTTTGCGGAATCTCATTGTTTTGACAGACATGTCTGGTCGTTGGATAGAGAGTGGAAAGGCTAGGAGAAGCTGTGACAGTATATGTTGGTTGCAGCTGGATCAGAAACAGTTGGGACACTGACTTACCGGGTAAATTCGACGGATATCCAGAGATCCCAGGTCTAGTAGACCAGCTCGTTCCATAAATAGTCGAGTGGTGGTCCGTCATCGAAGCGAACGGTGTTGTAAATGGTTGGTAGTTGGTGATGCAGGTGCATACCATGGGCCCCGCCGCCGGCGCCAAGAGGTCCCCACGGGGGCTCGAATCGAGGCCATCGCCGCCGCGACTTGCAATCCCCCACTCCTCGCTAACCCACTGAGTCTGGTCCTTCTTCATCCCGCCAGCGATCTGCAAATCAAATAAAGCAATATCATCCTATGGAAAACCAGCAGTGCAGCGGATGGCCGACCCGAAGCCTCCGCGTTTCCACGAACACGCGCGACGCCGCGAGAACTCGCACCGCGTACGGCCCCATCTCATCGTCCGAATTCAAAGTGCGAAACAACTAAACTGAACGCCCTGATACACTGCCTGTCGCGAACGCAGAATCAAATGCTTTGGCGAATAGCTATGTCGCTATTGTACGAAGCGAAATTTGGAATGCGTTGTCCCTAAAAACAGCAAGCGCAAACCCTTCTCTGTCGCGTGAGTTTCTGGAAATCGGAGATGGCTGGGAATCCGCTGACGTATTTGTAGTTCGTTCGAGATCTGGAAAGAAGAGCGGCATCCGGAGAATCGAGCAGACGAGATGATGGATAGGTCACACCTGCCGTACCCTGGCGAGATGAGGAAACCGAGACGACCTTTCATGTCGGAAACAGGCGCAGAGCTGCAGACGAATCGTACTGAAAGGCTGAAACTGGCGAGTTGATCCCGAGAGAGAACTTTCGTGAGTTGGCTTTTGCCCAAGTTTCGAGGGTCTGCTAACCGACCAAAGCTATCAAGACCGACATGGTCATGTCCTCAAGTTCGACGTTTAGCTCTCATATCAAGGCAATTTCTACTATCAGGTCATTGGGCAATCGTCATGCAGGACGATCCTTGAAAATAACAGACAACGCCTATAAGCTGCCGCTCCCAAGTAGGGGACGAATCGGGGCGACACACATAAAGAACTGGCCGACTGAAGAACAATCTCGGAAGCTGGTGAACGGCATCACAAATTCCATCGGACAACTACAACATTTATTTGACTCCAAGTCTTTCTTCGAGCGGCTGCTGCCATCTATAATTGTGACGCGGCGCCTGGGAAGAGAGCATCCGGTCCGCATTGCGTATGTCTTTTCTACCTATGGTCCAACGCGCGTTGTTTGGCGGTATATTTCTCTGCTCAATCCTCTCTGCCCGAGGTTGCTTCCACCCAAATTCAGTCCGCTCAGTCCACTCAGTCCAGAGCACCCAACGGCCTCACCAGCCCAGGATCTGCCTTCTCCATTGCCCTCTTCCACCCCTCACGCTCCGCAATCCGCTTCATGTAAGCAACTATACTTGGATATTTCTCCAGACTTACGGCAAAAACAGACGGAAGGTCGTGAGCGGGAACAGTGCCATGCAGTCCGCAGCTGTGAACTGGGCGCCTGCGAGGTAAGAGCTCTGGGAAAGTTGGGTTTCCATTGCTGAGAGGGCGAGGTTTAGGCGCGCTTGGTTGATTGTCGAGACGGATGGAATGTCTGCGTTGGGGTTGGTTACGGTTGTGCTGGAGGCGGCGCCCGAGTCTATCTGACGCTGCATGTGGCTGAACAGGAGGCCGTTGAGAGCGGGCTGCAGTGAGCCGTTGGCGTGATGTAGCCAGAAGAGATACGGGGCGTAGTTGGGGTGGTTCGGCGGGAGGGCCAGATCATTGACGTTGTTGTCATCGCCACCGCGCTGGTTCGCTTTGGCGAGGATGTACTCGACAATTGCATTTGTTTCGCCGAGGACAATATCGCCGTCCGTGATGACGGGCGCTGTGCCGGTGGGGTGGAGAGCCTTGTAGGAGGCCGGGGCGGCGGATGTTTCGGGATCACGATCGTACGCCTTGAGGGTATAAGGGAGGCCGAGTTCTTCGCAGAGCCAGATCACGCGTTCGGACTGGGAGAGGCGCAGGTGGTGGATTGTAAGGACGGGGTCTGCCATGTTTAGGGAGGCAGCTGCAGAGCGCATGGATGGATCCTTCCTCGGTAAGTACCTGTGGTACCAGAACCTTATATAAGAAGAGACCTCAGGCTTACCGAGCGCCGGAAGCCGGAAAGTCGAGAAATCCGGACGGAAGACAGTATGGCACCATCCGATTACTTTACAAGACAACTCAAGGGTCCACAGTGTCCACTCCGTTATGGGCAGTGGACCTCAGGTTTCTCGACGCGGTTACGCAGTCTACAAGTTATCCAAGAATGGTTCATTCATCTGCCGCATTTCCCGATCCCAAAACACCTAGTGATGACATCAGTATGAGCCACGACAGATCGATCAAGGTGGAGGTGATGGACAACTTACCCAGTCGAACATCTCAAAGTCAGTTTCCGCATTGATCATTTCGTCAAAGGCTGACCAGACAGAGGAAGAAGCAGGCAGTCCAGGTGAGAGTGACGGGAGGTCTAAGATGCCGAAATCAGACACGTTACCAGTATTATTGGCACTAGTACTGGGTCCAGTGGCAGCCGGGGGAGTGCAGCTAGCGCTCGTGCAGGTGGCTACACCATGGCCCATCCGCCGGAGCATCGTGGCCAGGACCTCAGCTGCCTTTGTGACTTCCACCGGCGGCCTGGGGGTCTGACTCAAGTTTGTATATGTCTGGTGTAGGACCCGGACCAATTCTGTTGTCGATGTGTTCCCGGCGAAGGGCTTGTTAGTCTTAAGGGTAGGAGAGCTCGACTCATTGATCACTGCAAGACAGATCACCATTGCCGCGGTGAGACAATCAGACACGGAGTTGGAGGTGCCGAACCACGAGTGTCTTCTGCGCGGGCAGTGTAGCGCTTCTTCGAAGAGAAGGCACTGCTGCTCCAGAACACAGCGCGCTGCGTCCAGACACGCCCACCCGAAGGATTCAAGCTCCGGGTCAAAGCGCGACGACACCAGGTATTGGCGATGGAGGATACAGCGGGAGCGTTGATATACCATCTCCAGAGTGCGCTGCATGAGCAGGCCGCTGTGAGGGGATGCTGGATCGGGATGCCTTGGCGGCGGCATGCGCAATGAACGCGGAAGGCCGTTTCTTAGAGCTCCCAGCTGCTGGCTTAGACGAAGGGTGGTTGCTCGTGAGATGGTGCCCTTAGCGACAAGCTCGGTGATCTCGTTGGCTATCGAGCGGAGGTCGTCAAGAGCGATCATGAACACAACGCCGCTTACTGTCTCGGTGGCCGATCGTGACGGAGGCAGAGCAGACATGGTTGGGTGGAGATCCTCATCTAACAGATTCCGTGGCCGGGGCGTGTCGGCCAGGCCGGGATAGAGCACTCTGGGGAGCCCGCTTTGGGAGGCCACGACGTTATCGATGACCGAGAGCAACAGCCAAGCCCTACTTCGCATCTCTGCTTCAAAGGGCAGCGGCGGTGGACGGCACAGGTTACCGCTCTGGTGGTATCCCATCATGATTGCCAGGCGCGACACGATCCCGAGAAGGATGGAGACGCCTGTCTTGGAGTCATTGTATTGCAGGTATTCCACGCCCAGACACATCAGTGCGGCCTCTACCTTGAAGCAGCCGGGAACGGTGATGTCCGATTTTGAGAGGGCGACTGCGCAGTTCTGGTGCAGGGCATGGAGGGACTTGGGCAGCTCCGCGGACGCCTGGGAGGGGTCCACAAAGCGCTCGATCCAGAATCCGGCGGCCAGAACCCCATAGAGAAGGGAAAGCCAGGCGGGACTGATCGTCAAGGACGATTGCCAGAACTGGCGGTACTGTTTCCATGTCAGACCAAATTGCATGGGGGAGGTAGGTAGGTAGGCATCCGAACCTGAGACTGAAATGTTGGGACGTGAATAATCACTGCGAAAGGTCAGTCGAATGTTGAGAGGCAGCAACTGGGGCGACCGTACTCAACGATGGCTCAGCAGACTCCAGGAAGGCGGAAACGAGTCTGTCTGTAACATGCCGTGGGGGTAAGGAGGCGACCAGCTCTTCGATGCTCACATTATGAGAAAGCCCTAATAGCAAGTGCGCGGTATTCCCACCCGATTTGCTCTCGACAGCACGATGACCGTTGCGGTCCAGTTGTCTTGTCTGACATCCTCAGCTCGAGAGAAGATAACAAAGGGGAATAAGGGAATACAAACGGCGTCGTCCATAAGAGCCCGCCAGTGGCTTGGCTGGACAAACCCACCCGGCTCGGATGCAGGCTGAAACCGCACTTCCAAAGGCGTACGACGATCCCTGCCGATCTTGCAGTCCGGCAATGAGGGTTTGCTGAGCGCAGGACGCGCCTGAACATAGTGACAGGAGGCGGCCTGATCGCGCTTCTGGCAGTTCGAACAAGGACGGCCGCGGTCACATTTCAGCCTGCACAAGTGATCAAGTTATTCCCGTACTGGGATGGTTACAGCAAAACTTACTTTTTCTCTCGACACGTAGTGCAGGAGAGCAGCACTCGAGGCTTCTGATCCCGTCGCTTCCGATCTACAAATGGGCGGAACTCCATTGCAGGGCTTGTACAGAGCAGGAAATCCGGGGCCCGGATTTCTCAGCTTTATAGTGCGGGTTTCTCGGAATACTCGGGTTACAGGGCTTTCTGGTAAAATATTCGCCCCAAGTAGCCCGAGCCAGTCATCGACCGGCTTCCCGTGGACCGGCCCGCAATGGCCCTGTCAACCACGTTTCTAGTGACCCGCGGATATAAGTTGTATAGGTAACACTCGAGGTCCGCGGATATAACAGGAGCACTTGCACTGCCATGTGCGGTGCCTTGAAGGTGATGCCCCCATACGAGAATGGGCTATTTCAACGCCTATATAAGCCGAGCCCCCATCAGGTTCTCAAAGCACACTCTCGTTTCTCCCAAGCCAGCCTTGTCCAAGTATGGCAGATAAAAAACCAAGGTTCCGCGTGGTGATTGTTGGCGGGTCGATTGCAGGCCTGAGCCTCGCCCACTGCCTGCTCCGGCAACAAGTTGACTTTGTGGTCTTGGAGTCCCATCAGGATATCGCACCGCAGGTCGGCGCATCAATCGGCATTTTACCAAACGGGGCTCGGATCCTGGATCAACTAGGTTGTTTTGATGATATTTTAGCTGCCACAGAGCCCCTCCAGGAAGCAAGCTTCTGGAATGCTGACGGCAAGCTCATCGCCCAGAGCAACCTTCCCAAGATCCTCGAAGATCGGTACTTGCCACGCATCCTTGCTTGAGATTGTTTCAGGAGCTAACCATCTCATAGCCACGGGTATCCGTCGGTATTTGTGGACCGGCAGGTAGTGCTCGAGGTTCTTTTCCGGCAGCTTGGGAAATGGCAAGATCACATCTTGACCGGGAAAAGAGTCGTCAAGGTCGACCATCTTCCTGATGGCGTCAGGGTTCACTGCGCGGATGGATCGGTGTTTGAGGGCGACCTGGTTGTTGGTGCTGACGGGGTGAGAAGTGTGGTTAGGCAGCAAATGTGGAACTATATGGATTCCAAGGGACTTGTGAAGGAGGCCTCAGAGGAGCGTGCAGCAATGGTCTCCGAATATAGCTGTGTTTTCGGCATCTCCGCCGCAACTCCCGGTTTGGTTCCCGGCACCAGCCACCGAACCTTTGGCCGGGATTGGTCCTTCCTCACTATCATCGGGAGGGCGGGCAGGGTATATTGGTTTTTCTTCAAAAAGTTTGACCGAAAGTACTCTGCTACTGAAATCCCGCGCCTGGATCAGACCATGGTCGACCAATATGTTGCCCCCTACCTCAAGAAGCCCATTAGCAGTACCGTGCCGTTTGAGAAAGTATACACTAGAGCTATGAGCAAGACTCTACTGGCCTTGGAAGAAGCGTGTTTCAAGCACTGGGCCATCGACCGCTGGGTTTGCATTGGCGACTCCGCGCACAAGGTATGTTGAGAAGTGTATTGCAGTTCAAACTTCTGACATTCCGTGACAGATGACCCCTAACCTAGGCCAAGGAGGCAACAGCGCAATTGAAAGCGCTGCGGCGCTCGCTAATTGTCTTGCTAGACTCCTTCAGTCCTCTTCAGATCCGACAGTCTCATACACGGAGCTAGACAACTACTTGCAGTCCTGGCAAGAGAAACGACGGCCCCGTGCGCAACGCATCTGCAAGGACGCCCAGGGCCTGACTCAACTAGAAGCCTTGAAGACTATCAAGGACAGGGTGGTCGGGCTCTACCTTCTGCCATACCTCGACGAACACCTGGCCAACACAACATCGAAGACCATCGTTGGAGCGGAAAAGATTGAATACCTCCCCGCGCCAGCCAGGTCTTTAACGTGTAAAATGCAATTCACTGACTCCCTGCCGGCGCAGAAGGTCACCCTTTGGGAGCGAGCACTTTGGACTGCGCCGCTTCTAGGTATATTTGTCGTCAGCAAAGCCTCGCTGGCACCGTTGATCTCGGCGTTTGGGCGGCATCTGCAATCCACGTTGGAGAAGGGGACTTGGGGTGCTGCGAATGGGGAGGTGCTCGACCTAACGAGGCCTTTCTACCACATCGGCTTTCTTGATAAACTCATGAGGCCTCTTGTAACTTGCTTTTTACCTTCAGTCACCGGATCCGATCCTCAATCGCATCTTCAGATGCTGTCATTTATGACCGACCTGGGACCGATCTACGGTATTTGGCTACTAGAGAGCTACCGCAATGCGCACTCTTTGTTTGAGGTTCTCCTGTGAGTCGATACCCCATACTATCTCCATGAAAGCCCACTCACAAATCAATAGGCCGCTGGCAGCAGGTACCATCTTCCAACTGCTAGGCATATATCAAGTCGCCCCTCTCTTCCTCGCCCAAGAGTATCTCCGTAATCCCCTTTCCAAGCTCCTCGTCGGCGACAACAGGAAGATAAGCGGAAGCCTGGTTGGGTCTCTGACCATCGCCACCATAGCCGGATACCACACAATTACATATGCCAATTTCCTCGCGTCCACCCTCAAATCCAGGCAGTGGTATAACGCCCTCTGGCAGGTTTTTCCGCTCACAACGCCTCTCCTTCAAGGCGCTATCTACCTGACAGCACGCGCCCTCAGCACAGCACGTCAATATCACCAAACATCGACGCCCCAGAAGGACACCCCGCGACAGCGAAAGCAACGCCACTGCACCCCCACTCGCTACGTATCCCGCACCCTCGCTCTAATCTCAGGCCTCACCTTCCTCTACGCCCGGTTCCGCGCGGCCTATCTCCCTGTCTCATTCCCCGCCCTCTTCCTCCCCTCCGCCCAGGACGCTCTAGCGCCAGTACCCTCGCTCAGCGATGGCATCGCGCGGTTCTTGAAATTCGACGAGCTGATCGCCTCGGCGAGCGGGTTTGTGTGGCTGGCGCTGCGGTTCCGCGAGCTGGAGGCCGCGGGGGCAAGGGTCCCCTGGGTCAAGGGGTGTTGTGGGTTTGCGGCTTCGCTGGTGACGTTGGGACCTGGGGCTACCTTTGCGCTTGGGTGGGGATGGCGCGAGGAAGTTATGGAGCAGTTGGCGAGAGAGAGGGGGAGTAGTCGGTAAATGCTGTATTGAGACCGTCAATCTCAACGCTGCAGTGCGGGCTTTAATGGACCTGACCACCTCGGCAAGTGAACGATGCAGCCCTGGAGAGAGCAGGGGGTCCGTCAACGGAAGAAACGCCGGTGATAATATCGACTTAGCTGCATATTCCAAGAAGCATCGTTCCTCCAGCGTCCAATCTACTCAATCCACGTCTTTGCATGAAGCTAGCCCTGTTTAGGAGAATGCAGGTACCCCTCACACTAAGCAGGGCAATGCCAGGATAAATATGGCCAATCCCCTCCCGCTGTGTCTTTGCGGCTTTGCGAGCTCATTTTACCTGCGATGGCCAGGACCACAGCTCTACTGGGGCTACTCGCCTCCATACATAGTGCGTTTGCTGTCAGCACAATTGACAACTGGGAAGAGATCACCCCTTCTCCTCATATTCAATGGACCCCCTGCTTCCAGAACTTTACTTGCACCCGACTCCAAGTTCCCCTTGACTACGGAGATCCAAGCCGCGGCACCACGGCCATCGCATTCCTCAAGCGCGCTGCAACGAATGCAACCAAAAACACCCGCAACGTCCTCATCAATCCCGGCGGACCAGGCAACTCAGGCGTCCAATATGTCATGGGAAATATCTTCCCCTTCACCGACGTGATCGGCCCAGAGCATAACATCATCGGCTTTGATCCTCGCGGTGTGGGCAACAGCGGACCGGAGGTCGACTGCTAGCCCGGCCACCCTGAACAACGAGCACAGTATGAGAGACTATTCTACACCGACACGGCATATGCCTCGTCGACCTCATTGAGCGAGCAGTTCTATGCCGCGGAGTTCTTTGGAAAGGCGTGCACGTCTGTTGTCGGTGGGACGGACGGTAGCGCGGCCTTCGTGAGTACTCCAGCCGTTGCCCGCGACATGCTCACCTTTATCAAGGCCGAGCAGAGAGCAGCCGGGGAGCCAGAGGGGGATGCTAGATTAGCATACTACGGATTCAGCTACGGCACTGTCCTCGGGGCTACATTTGCACACATGTTCCCCGACAGCGTGGGCCCAATGATTCTCGACGGGGTGGTCGATGCCGAAGATTACTACGACCTAGGATGGAGAGAGAACCTGCACGACGCAGACGCAGCAATGGACGCATTCTTCGAGTTCTGCGTGCATGGCGGACCGAGCATGTGTTCCTTTTACGGCCCTAACGTCCAGAACCTCAAGCGCCGCTTCCAGAACCTCCTCGACCACTTGAAGTACCATCCAATTCCCGTCAGCAATCCCACATCGTGTTCTCTCCCCGCGCTAGCAACCTACTCAGGCCTCAAACAGATCGCCCTCCAGGCGGTCTACGCGCCCGTGTCATACTTCCCCATCCTCGCGGACGTCCTCGCCGGCCTGGAACAGGGAAACGCAACCGCGTACACAGCTGCAGTTACAGGGGGCTTCACCGTCGTGAACCCTTGCACTGCGAACTCGTCAAGCTCGATCCCCGACATCAGCCCCGTGATCCGCTGTGTTGATGGTGTGAATGGCAGCCAGCGGATCGAGACACTCGCAGAGTACCAAGAGTATGCCAGTTACCTGAGTAACCAGAGCCAGGTTCTAGGGGAGGCGTGGGCCAATATCGCCAATGGGGTGTCCTGCCGGTCGTTTGAGGTCCACCCGCATGAGACGGGAAAGCTTCATGGTTTGTGGCGTGATTCGGAACTGTGCGTACATGATCTAGCCTTGTTTATGCTGACGGACGTGGTGGACTCTGCAGACTCGATCCTGCAACGCAGGAAGACCGCCACGCCGCTCCTCTATGTCAGCGCGGACATCGACCCCGTTACCCCGAAGCGGAAGTACGCAATGTATCTTATTCCCCCACCGCATCGTTATTGATTTGTTTGTCAGTGCGTACAAGATGTCTTCTGTGTTCGAAGACTCCACCGTCCTGCTCCAAGCCTCCGTCGGGGTAAGTCCGGGCACTCACTCTCTCACTTACTTTGATGCACCTGAGATAAAAGCTAACGCATCCCTGTCACCAATAGCACACTGCAATCGCCAGTGCATCGAAATGTCTAGCGCGGCATGCCCAAGCATATTACACGCATGGCGAGCTTCCAGAGCGCGATGTAATCTGTGCAGCGGATCTTGTGCCGTTTGAGAAGGTCGTGGTGTAGGGCATTGGCGTATCTGGACCATGAAATGGTTTGAATTCTTTGGATATAGGGTATTGCGAGGGAGGCGTTGTGTACATGGTACCTACCATAGGTATGGAGCACCGCAAAAAGATCCCAATTCCCAACCTTGTCAGAGGCCGGGACAGGGTGATGAGAACTTTTCGTTTGGCGTTAGGTTTTTCATCTCGCGATATCAAAGAGATAGGGTTGATTCGCTACTAGATCAGACCTAATTAACCCAACCCGGCCATCATACACCCCCCGCTTTGCAACTCTAGATATCCACCCATCCAGATGTCCGATTTCCGAGTTTCCCTGCAGGTTTGCTGCAAAGCAGTCGAGGTCACTACTCCCGCGTCCCCAGCGAAGGTCTCCTAGCCGATGTGCAAAGGAACCTGGAAATATTTATGGCGATGTGCGGGACTCACCGAGAAGATTACCCGGCAGTCGCAAAGCAGCAGATACAAACGCAGGGTACTAGCTGGAGCCGGGGGCAGGCCGGTAGCGGCTCCCAACTCACAGCATCCCCGCCTATATTGAGGGCTGACCAGGATTCATAACTTTAGATATATATTTACGTGCATGGGCCTGTCGGGCATCAATTGCCAGGATTAAGCAAAACAACTAACCGGGTGAGCATATAGAAAAATGCGTACTGCGATTCGCCAGGAAGGAAACAATCAAAAGCGATTTCGAAACTCAATTTAGACTATACCCCTCCTCCACCAGGGCTGTCACATTACCACTGCCAACAAGCTTCGGTTCTTCAAACACGTCGTGCGAGTCTTCAACAGCCCGCTGCACCTTGTCCGCGCGGTACCGCAAGCGGGTAAAGAGGCCCTCTGCGTCGAGGAGACCGTTTTCATATACAGAGGACACGTGCAGCAATGTATGAAGGAAGACAGCCAAGGCGGCATGGTAGTCAGCTGTCGTCTCAATCGGGGCAAAGTAGTCACCCATGCGCTGAAATTGGATGGCGACACCGGAGGACTCGGGGAGGAAGTAGGAGTCCCCTAGAACCGCTAAGGAGATGGACAAGATGGGTGACGGACCAACTCTGGTGCTGGGGCTGGCGCTGCTCGAAGTCCCCGATAAAGGCGAGGTTATTGCTGGCTCAAAGAGAATGCCTCGGAGTTTCGCATCGGACTCATTGGGCCCGATTTGCTGGCGTATGGCCAGATGCCGCTCGCCCAAGTGGTAAAGAAGCCGCTTCCATGCGAAAAGCTCGATTTGGAATGGCTCGATGTCCTCCACCTGGCTGGCGAGGCTGACGATGGCAACGAAGCCTTCGATTGGGTAGGAGAGGAAAGGCAGCTGGTAGATCATTCTGTTTGGGTGGCAAAAGGCCAGAATCAGTGCATCCGTGAAGGATACGCCCGTGTCGACGTATTCAGACATCGGACTACCGACAGGTGTGATGCCCGCCGTTCTGGGTATACCATCGAGCTCGCTGACTTCTCTACAGCACCACTGTAGGCACTCTAGGAAGTTGGCGGCGGAGGGATGGCTCTCGAACAGGTCTTCGATTGTGGAGCAGAGCGAGGAGAGAAAGACGAGGAGGGTAATGCCTTCGTGGAAGCGATGCTGGTATACTTTATTGAGGGTCTGAAGCCATTGCCGGCGATTATTCTCGTCGCGCGGTGAAATCAGAGGAAGTGCAGCGTCTACGCGCTCACCGTTTGGGAGCCCCTCGACTTGGAGTAGGACGAAGGCGCAAGCGTCACAGGCTGTCAGCGGAAGTATGACATCCGTCTCCGGGTAGTTGCCCAGAACCAATGGGTATTTGTGTCTGGCCTTGCTGTTGATCTGGGGGAAGTGAGGGGTGCTGCTGGCCTCGCGGTTGATCTGCAAAAGGAGGCACTGGATAGAATTGGATTGCCCACAGATCGGACACGTTTGGTAACTTGGAGAATCGTTCATCTGGGCTGGGGCGACTCTGTTGCCTCTGTATCCCGGCAGGAAAAGAAGGTCACGCCCGACAAAGCTGGGATGGGAACGAGGCGGAGGATATGGCGATGTGGGATCTGACAATGGGTGATCCTTGCGGGCCAAGGGGCTGCTTCTCTTGACATGTTCGGCTGGCTCAAATGCAGTATCATCGACGTCGGGAGATGTCATGGGGGTTAGGAGGCTTGGGGACACGGGATGCCTGGCAAAAATGTTCATTGTCGTCAAAACATCATCGAATACTTGGTTCATCTTTGTGGGCAAGTCGCACTCAGTTTCCACCCTGACCAGAAATTGACTCCAGTTGGCTGAATGTAGGTGGCGGAGTCTCGACTTAATGGCGTGAGCGGCTGGAGATGTATCGGAAGCATAGAGGGCCTGCCAAAACTGATCTGGCTGAGTGCCAAGTATCTCCGGCTTTATAACTACGTTTACCAGGGAAAGGAGGGTGCTTTTGGCGGCGCCGCCTATATCGTCACGTTGCAAAAACCTGGAATCCTTGGAGACTGTCACAGACCGAGACTTTGCAATCCAGTCCTTCACGAGCTCATCTTGGCCCCTGGTCTTTGCCGCGAGGATTATAACATCCAAGGCAGAATAGTCCGACAGGAGATCAAGCTTGTCGGCCTCGGAGACCGTGTCGTTGTAAATATCTCGCAGATCGAAGTGTCGCCCGTCGGGGAGCAGGACTGTATCCCGGGGCAGCTCTGTTGGTGCGGGGACTCGGACGCTGGACAGGCTCTCGTAGGTGATGGTCGCTAAGTCTTCCCAGGCTGTTCGTTTTCCAAACACTGAGAACTGTCTGTCTTCGGACAGCATATTGGCGAAGCATCCCTTGGCCTGGAAGACGTATACCAGGCCAGTCCTGACATCATGGAACAGAAAGATACAATGTGGAGCGACAGCAAACACGGACATGCCGACTGAAACATTGCAGTCGAACGGGGATGCGGCAGTGTAGCCAAACAGAACGATCACGCAAGCGGTGCCGTGGATGCCAGCTTCCGGTATGGCATTGGCGAATCTGTGAACTAGCGGTTCGTCAATCTGACCATCTGTCAGAAGGAACCAAAGACCGGAGTTTCGCAATCGCGCTTTACAGGCGGCATTCTCCAGTAGCGCTCCTGGATCAGTTCCTCCGCCAGAAGTCAGACTCTCAACGGTTGCTAGATTCCTGGGAGGGTGGCTCTTGTGAGACCAAGGAAGTATCGTCGACCGCGAGACCAGGTCGTGTGACTGGGAATTCGCAGAGACCGCGAGAATAGCGTCCTGTTCCTGGCGCAGGATTCGTCCAGTTGTGCTCCCGGAGACATCGACCGCAAATGTCAGCGGTATCTCTCGTATGGACAGTAGTCCATCAAGGCTCTGGGAGGCGGATACTTGCGTATCCCCAGTATGAGGGGCAAGACCTGCAGATGCTGGTCTGGGAGGAGGCGACATGGGTAGCGATACCCGCGAATGCTCCAATGGGCTTTTGATTGGCGACTCGATTGGCGAAGGGGCGAAAGACCGATCGGGGGTGCGCCTGTCCTTTGTGCTAACGGGGGAAGGCGCAGCCGACGAGGAGAGGGAGCCGCGAGACTTGGCCCGGTCTCCGCGCAATCCTGGATTGGCTGGATCAGTAGTGGTCTGGCTCGAGCAAGGTAGGAATTCGTACTCTCTTTCAGATTCTTGAGAATGTTGGTGCTTCCGGGCGCCTTCCGCGCGTGGGTTATCCTGGGTGTGACGGGGTTGTTTTGAGTATCCATGATCTATGAGGTATTTTGCGCAGAGTGAATATGAACGAGGTGGACTCCAGGCACCGGGAGGGGGGTGCGTTTTGATAATGGCAGGTGGTAGGACAAGGCTGCAGTCTGCCTCTTACCATGGGGCTCTATAGAGGCAAGGTTTATGAAGCACAGCCGCGTCAGCCTTGCGTGCCAATCACTGGCCGTAGCCCGGAGAATAGGTCGAAGAGACCGGGGGTGAGATGGCTGGAGCGTCGTATCCGGGGCTGCGGTGAAGCGACGCCCTCGCGCGGAATATCGACGAAAAGGGCGGTTGTTGGGTCGATGAGACCATGGGGGGAGAGGCCGAGGATGAGCCCACCCGCATCATGTCCATGGGGGAACGGGCTGAGTCTTTGTCGCGAGGCGGAGGCTGTTCAGCCTTGTCCAAGTCTGGAGCCACGTCATGCTCCAGCCATTGGGACGAATGCTGTCTCGCATAGCGTGCTTTCTTTTTTTCCTTGACAGGGGTTGGCTTTTCAGCTCTGTCCGCAGTCTGACTTTCTGGGGGTGCACTCTCTTGGGACGATGGCCGCTCGCTCGCTTCTTTGGAGGCAGGAGTGGCCGGCTGTTTCTCCGACAGGGAAGCACTGGACTCGGCCGGGGGAATGCTGAGGCTGTCCTGTCCATCGTCCGAGGGAAGGATCCAAGATGGGCTCAGAAAGGAGACTTGGGAGTGAAGCTTTCTGCGTCGGGGGTCGCGCATTTTGCTGGATGAAGAGGTTGAAGGGGGAGAGAAGCGGAAGATGCAGGAGGGGATGGAAGGAAGTACAGTACGTACAGTACGTACGTAGGTATAGATACGGTACGAGGCAGTGCTGAAAAGAAAACCAACACACCTCCAACGCTGAGGCGCAGCATCCCCTCGTCACCAAATGCCTGTAATATCTTCGCATCGCCCTGGCACTCTTGAAGGTCACATTCAACTTGTCTTCAGACCTGGAGCATGGCCCCCATGTACGACGCCAATGGTGCCCCCGAGCTGTAAGTCTGTCCCTGCTCTCCGAGACCCAGAGTAATAGAGCTTGGGTCCAGAGAGTATTCAAATGCGATCGCACAGTCTTTTGAAGGCTTTCAGAGATCGCAACTGTCCGACATCACTTTGGTCCGGCACACCTCCTATCAGCCCAATTCCCCAGTGACGAGTATAACCCTTGCCAGTGAAGGGGATATCAGGAACTTGGTGCGTTCTGATCATGAATGCAGCGACATATCCCTGACTGCCATCTAGAAGCGCACCAGTGCAGAAGGGGCACATGAGCTCTTGTAAGTGGCATTCCAGCATCAATCAGATTGTCATTGACCCCACAGCTTTATACACAAACACCTCATCCTAAGCCCACAGGATCAGGTTCCGAGAGATGCAAACAGACTGCGCATCTCAGGCGGGAGCCTGGAGGCCCTTGCGGCCCGGCTGAAGATTCCCCTTGGATTCATCTTCGCCCTTTCGCGTCACTACCTCCCAAACGGTCGAGGATCGCGCAGAGCGCCAGGAAATAGCTCGTCCACAGGGCTCGATCTTTGGTACTTTCTCCCAGTCAGAGTCCAGGTCGAGGCGCCCACCCCTGTCGCCAGTCCACCAGAAGCCTCCAGTCAGAACCAGATGAACCCCTTTCACAAGCTTCACCTCCCGAGTGTGAAGCTCGATATCCGGCGCTCCTGCGTGGCGATCTTCACAAACATCGATCCGGTTTCGAACCGCGTCACCTTTGTCGCGTTCGACTTCATGCATGGACGATGGCCGAAAGTCGCACTCGAGCCGAGACGACGCATAGAGGAAGTCATTGGCGAGCAAAGATCGACGGCAAGCGGCGGATTTGGGCACTTCATGCACCTGGTATACCTGAGTAGCGCGACGAGGTGGTGGACGAACTCCCTGAACAGCATCAACGAGCAACTCATCGCCTACGAGCACAAACTCCAGACAGAGCTGAGTGCCCAGCATACGACCCCAGAGGCCGTGCTGACAGACATCAACCGTGCCCTCCATGCAATCGCGGCGCATCTGCATCGCTATCTGTCGGAGCTCCAGTCACTGCAGGGGATAGTGGTGGATCTCGCCACGCACTTTGAGTCGTTACATGAGAGCGAACCGGGCAATAGCGATGTGAATAGCTTCGAGAACGCCGCTCGTGGATTCAGTCAGATTCTTTCGCAGGTCGAGGCATTGCATGACTTCGCTGAGGAGCTGGAGAAGAAGATCACCAACAATCTTGCCTTGGTATGCCTAGTACCTTCGTCTCATTGCCCTACTAATACCTTCAGTTATTCAACAGAATCCAAATCAACAGCGACAGACTCCTCGTCGCCAACGGGCAAGCAATGCAGGCCATCCTCAGCGCAATGCACGAGGACACAAACCTCGCCCGCAAGATGGCCAAGGCATCGCACTCCCTGGCCCAGGAGATGAAACGCGATAGTGTCGCCATGCGAACTGTACGTCTTCAAGCCATGGACATGTCTTCCAGCGTCAGGACAAGGCGGGCTCCCTAACATTCCCAAGATAGCCATCGTCACCATGTTCTTCCTCCCCGGCGCGACCTTTGCCGTGAGTCATATCTTCTCGTCTTGACCTGTGCTCTGAATCAATCCTGACCCACCCCACAGGCCCTCCTCTCCATGCCCTTCTTCAACAACAACAAATGGCTCGAAGACGCCTCCAGATTCTGGGTCTGGGTCGTCATGACCGTGCCCTCGACTGGCGCTTGCTTCCTCTTCTACCACAAGTGGATATCCAAGTCGAGGCAGGCGATTGCAGCGGATGATATCCTTCTCGAGGCGCAGGTGTAGAATGCAAACCAGCTGTATGCCCCGGATCGGGACGTCTCCTGAATAGTCTCCTGAATAGTCTCCTGAATAGTCTCCTGTGGAACAGTAAGGATGCTGGAATAGATTCGTTCACAGGCCACATGCATGCACGCACTCGAGTCCGACTGCATCAACTTGGGTTGTAGGTAAATCTGCAGGTGTCTCTGGCCGTTTGCTTTAGAGGAGTAAGACATTTCGCCTGAGCATCTACCTACCAGAATGCTGCACCCCATCCAGCTGTCCGGTGGTGCAGGCCACCTACCACCGTTCCCGAGGCACTCCTGACTCGTACCGTCCACGCTACTGAGCAAAGGTTTACGGTACAATTGCCAAGGCCATTGGTTTAGGTACTAATCTAGTGGGCGAGCAATGGATGCGGCTTCAAAGCCGCGCGAGACTGCCATCTGCCCCAGTAGGTATGGTATGGCATGGTAGGACCGCCCCGTGCTCGGCGTCAAAATGGGAGCCCTAACCCCCCGGGCCCCCGACGCAGCCGGCTCAAATACCCTGCTCACCCTGGGGCAGCTCTAGGGTTGAGGGTCCCCCTATCTTATATAGACAACTCTGAAATTACAGTGGTTGCGTAGAAATCCCGGAGATTATGGAGATTACCCTTCTTGTTATAGTAGGTAAACAATACGGCCCTAGAGTTGCATGACCTCCAGCTTGATAAGAAAGTCACCACAAGTAGGGAGAGCGATTCGGTGAGCAGTGGGGCAAGGGTCGTGCCTAACTGAACCCTACCATGCAAATAGCCACGGGTTTTAGGGTCACCGTCGGCATCGCCAGCGTCCTCGGACATCCGATTCAAAGGTTCGCAACCAGGTGTTCCTCCTCTGGCAGGATGAAGGGGACTCCCAGGACCAGGGACACTATGAGCCGCCTTGAACCAAAGAATGTCCGGTGAGTACCAGGCACCACATTTTCACTTTACCTGAGACCCGGAATTTCGGATGAATTAGGGTCGCGATTTCCTCTGAACTAACCAGCGCCACTAGTTACGGCCTAGGGCTACATAGAAGCCCCTCCATTCCAGAAACCACGCCGGCGGCAATTGATGGGGAGGGGAGATATGATATCAGCTTGCGACAGAAGAGAATGGCATTGCGTGAAGACAGCCACAGGTCACAGGCGCAACTGGAAGAAAGGCTGCTGCAACCAGGGAAACCAACCTTGGGGAGAATCTTGGTGCCACAATTCCCCCGAGATCGTTTGTGATGCGTCGAAGCATGACGATGTCCCCAGGTCAGGAATGCGCCTGCGATGTAACATAGAGGACAGGTGATCTTGAAGAAGCATGTTAGACGGATCTTGCACCAGGATATAGCCGACGTACAACATACTAAAGCAGATTGCGTATTTGCTATTTGGCGTTATCGATGTTGAAGTCACTCTGGAGGCCTGCAAAACGCGCGGCGGGGATGCTGTTGTGACCACGGTACTGATAGTTCATAATATGGTATAGATCGGGACGAAAGGGGATCCATCACTTGTGAAATCTGGAGATCGAGGCAGGATTCAAAGATTCTGGGGTTGAGAGTTGCTCGCCGGTTAAGGGCCGCCACCCTCAGCATCAAGATAGCAAGCCCTAACTCCATTTACCAGCGATGAGCTTAAGGGCCAAGGAGTACCCTGCTCTCTCTGACCTGGTCGTGCCCTGTGGTATGGCTTGCGGTCAGCCTTGATTTAGTTTAGGCACGGTAGGTTTTTTTTTTTTTTTTTTTTTTTTTTTTTTTTTTTTTTTCCACTATTTCTTCTACTTATGTTGCTTTATTTTGCTTCGGCCAACCAAGCTGCGAGCAAGCAGCTGCTCTCCTGAACAGACTCCTGTCAAGCACTCAAAGCCTGCTTATACGCAGTAGCAATATCCCTCCAACTCGTTATTGTCTCTGATGGTGTACCGGTATGCTGGTGGGTCGGGCATGATCTTTATCTGGCTGGGTCCGACGGACTAAGGGACTTGGTAGCCCATGCTCCACCCCTTTATGCTCTTTGTCTTAGTCCATAGTTACTTAATAAACTATACCTAGTTCTATATTTTAATTTTTACTAAAAAAAAGGCCTAGCTTTGCTTGCAGGAAACTTTAATTAGGAATATCCTTAGGGCAACAGTAATATAAGCTATCCCCCAAATCCTCTCCCAAGTATGGGGAAGTATAACGCGGGCGCGTAGACTGCCTGCAGCGTGATCTATTTAAGGCCTAAGAAGGTTGCTAGGATAGGGATAGAGCACAAGGAATTACTAACAGGGAGGGGATAGTCCTTTAGGTACTAAAGTAGGTTATAAAACTAGTTTTTAAGACCCTGGATATTAAAGCCCTAAAAGGGATATATTTTTAGCCTTTTATATATATAGAACTTATAAAAGTAGTTTATTATTATATTTATATTATATAGGTTTTTTTTTATTTTAGGTTATAGTAGTTTTTAGTATTAACTATACTATTAAAAATTATTAAGCTTATATTATTAAAAAATAAGTAAATAAAGGTTACTTTAAAAATAGTATTATAGCTAATGTTATAATATAATAATTTTATATTATTTTTTTTTAATTTTATAGCTATTCTTTACTTAGCCTTAATGAAAGTAAGTATATTATAAATAATAGCTAAAATACTTATAAAAACTATATTATTATTTATTTTATTAATTATAAATATACATGTTTTTTTTAAAAAGGTTTGTGGTAAAAAACTGCTTGCTTAATAAGGTTAATAAAATATATATTATTTTAATATAAAATAATTATTTATATTATACTTTTTATTTTAAGCAGCCAAGCTAGCAGTTAACTACTACTTTATTATTATTTATATTATAAAAATTAAAGTTAATAATATTATACTTTAAGCTGATTATATTAATAATAAAAAAATATTACTTATAATATATTAAATACTTAAGTTACCTGGCCTGCTGGGGTTAATAAAAATATTATAAGTATTTTTAATTATATTTATTATAGCATACTTAAAAAATACTATAGCTATAATACTATAGCTTAAATTTTTATAATTAAAAAAACCTAGAGTTAGGTGCATGTAAAGTTTTAAAATAAAGGGGTTATTAAATATTAAAAAAAGGTAATATTATTTTAGTTATCAATTATATTAATAATAAATATACTATATATAAAAGCAAGTAGTTTTAGTAAAGCTATAATTTTAATTATTATAAGTAAATAAGCTTTATAAAGTTATAAAGGCATAAAAAGGGACTTACATTATATTTATTTTAGTTATACCTTATTTAGTGTAAGGGGACCTGTATTTTTTTAACTAGTCTAGTTTTATGCAAAAGACATGGATTAAGTAGATTGGACGCAAAAGGAATGATGTCTCTTAAATATTCAGCTAAGTCGATATTATCACCGGCGATCTTCGGGTGATTCTAGCAGTCCATAGAGCCCAACGCAATAAGGACGGGGAAGCGGCCTTCCTGGTCATGACGTTCTGCATGTCAATTTAGATGTTCTTCCGCTGATACGTCGCACTGCACCCCAGGAACTGGCAGTGAGATAGAGGGAGGGTATGTATATTGGCCATTGTGGGTTTCTATGCATGAGTTGAAGGACGATGGGAGGATTCGTTGACCATGGACAAACGCGGCCAAAGCTACCTAAGTATACCAGGACAGCAAATAGTGGTTTCCTTTCCACTTTGCGTGTTTCTACTTCCCAAGCAAGAGCCAGGGAGTCTCTCGAAATAAAGTACACAAAAGCCACCCAGCATCAGCGCCTGTAATGCAAGAATGGTGTTTCGAGAATGCCGGAATATGTAACACGCAACCTTCGAAATCCAGCGACATAGGGGTGTGCATTCCTTTGTTTCTGTGTGGATCCAGGAGACCTTTAAGGCTTGCCGCAGAGATGTTCAGAAGTATCCTTGCCAAGGGCCATAGTTTCGAAGGACTTTTCTAGAGTCTCTGTACCGCAATATGCTGTTAGCTTCGCTGCAAGACTGTGAAGGGGCAGGGAATCTCACCATGTGCCTCAATGAAGAAAACTGGCGCCTCTCTGAGAATGCATGTCCTCCACGTTTCCCAAGTACGAGGTACAACTTTGTCACCATAACCACTTCTAAAGTAAACCCATTGGCGTTCACCATCATAATGGCATTTTTCCTCAAGCCACTTGAAAAAGGTTTCAAGGCATTGTTCATCCAGCTCAACCGTCTCGGACGGCCCGCGCAGACCAAAGGTATCCAGATCAGGCTCCGCCGAGTACTCTGCTTGAGTCTTGTTGATCACAGAGATCTTGCGATTTGCGACGTGCAAGGCGCGGCTGTCTTCCTGTTGCATCTTGAACCAGGGTGCTCGGGGTGTGTTTTGAGGGTGTTTAGAATGACACAAAGTCGCCCGAATAGGTGTTTCGATTCTCTAGATTAAGAGGCTTGTTAGCTGGCACCCCGCTATAACACGGACGAGAGCTGCCAGGGAATACTGACCAGGTAAAGAGAGGGTTCAGGCTGAATCAGGAGATTAACATCAAGCGGGCAGGACGATAAGTAACTCCCGGAGAAGGAAGAATGGATGACTGGTGGAACCCAGCTAGGATGTCTTGAGGAGTTGTGGGCGAGGACGGGAATATGGGGTAGAAGGAGGATAAAGTGAAGAGAGTTGTGTTGTTTTGAATAGGCAGGCAGGCAGGTAACGTGACCAGGACGAGGCATGGTTGATTACCTACCAAACCGCTACTCTGGACCTGCTGGTCCCAGCCAGTTGTAGGCCTACCTATTCATAAGGTTGTTTTTCTCCAAGTGGGTTAAACACCAAAGCTTGTATTTATCATGCCCCCTGGCCTAATACTAATTTAGTATAGTATTATATATTTTTTAAAGCTTACTTTTTTATTTTTATTAAAGTGCCCTTTGCCCCTGGCTAACTTTTTAACTAAATATAAACTTTTTTTTTTAGATTTTTAGACAATTTTAAAAGTAACTTTAAATTTAATAATTTAAACTTTTACCCTACCAGGTATTATAATAAATATTATTATTTTAATTTTGAAATTTTTAAATACCTTTATTACTATCTTAATATTTTTTATTTATAGCAGGATATTAAGTATATATTATATAATTTAAATAAATAATATACTAACCCTTGTTATAATATTATAAATTATAACCTAGAGAGTTATTATTAATAAATAATTTTTATTTTTATTTTTATTCTTGTTTTTATTATTCTTTTTATTTTTTATATTTTTTAAGTATAAATAAGTAAACTAAAATACTAGTAATTATACCTATGCCCTTATTTTTCTTATTTAATTTTATAACTACCTAGTCTTTTTAAGCCAGTTCTAATCTTTTTTTTAATTTAAAAAATAGTGGTTATAGCAGAGGAATACTTGCAGGCATAACTATTAATGATATTATTAGTATTATACTTTTAATACTACTTTTAGTACTTCTTTCTTTAGTAATATTATACCCAAGCACCTTTATTATTTAAAACTAAATATAATCTAAAAGCTTAATATAGTAAAGCTAGTACTATAATTTTAAAATTAAAAACAAAAGCTATAGCTAGAGCTAGAGTAGCTTTCTCCCATATATTTATTACTTTATAACCTGCTAATAATAAAACCATGCATTATTAAATTCTTATATTAATTAATTAAATAAATTTTTATATTAATAATTACTATATTCCTACCTTATTTTTAACATTACTATATTTCATACAAACCAATCCTGCTAAGCCTATAAAATATAACTTAAAATATTTCCCTAACTTAGTTATAAATTTATATAGAAACCAGGTATCTAGTAGCAGGTTATAAGTTATATATTAATATATATATTACTATAAAAAATAAGTTTAAAAAGTATTTTTTAGTAATTTATAATACATAGCTATAGGTTAAAAATTAGACTATTTATATAAACTTTATTTTTATTACCTAAATATAATACTAACTTACTTTTTATAATAACTAATATCTTAGCCTATTTATTTTATTTACCTAGTATATACTTACTGCACACCTGTATACTAAGTTTAATAATTTTTATTTAACCATAAATAAAAGCATTATATAAGTAACCCAAGCCCTAATAATGAAATTTATATTTATTTTTACCTTTTATATAATATGCTTGTATAATCCTAATTACCTTATATATTTATAAAACTTTATAAAGGCTATAGCTAAGCTAAAAATATAACTTTTTATATATCCTTGTATATTTAAATTTATTTAGGGCAAAATTGTATATAGGTTTATAGTTTTCCTAGGTGTACTAAAAATTTATAATAAGTAGGAGAAAATAGGAAGCCTGCTAGTTTTAGTTAAAAAATAGGTATTAGCTATTAAATTATATTTTATATTTAGTATTTATATAATTTAGAAAAAAGGCCTGTTAATAGTATTGCTAAATAAAAAAGATTAATATAATAAGGTAAATATTATCTTTATATATAGCCCTGTGCCTAGTGCCAGGATAATAAATTTAATAACTTAGTATTTATTTTTTTTACCTATAAATAATAACTTATTTTTTACTTAAATTTAATTATTAATCTATATTTTAAGGTTATAGAAAAAAGTATTAATTTTCTAGGTACTTAACTTATAAAGGTATTTTTTAGTCCAGGCTTATGTTTTCCCCTACCTTACCTTTTTTAAAATAACTAGTAGTAACCTTTATTTTTATATTTTATATTTTAACCTTTAAATCCTACCTTAGACTTAGACTTGCCATGTGCTTTACAAGTATATTTATATTTATATTAAAACTAAAGCTAAGTTTACTAGTATTTATTATTATATTTTTTAAGTTTATTTTATTTATTTTAACTAGCCCTATTTTAACTTTTAATTTTTAGATTTAGATTTATACCTAAATCCCCTGTAACTGCTTTAAAACCTTTATTAAACTTTTATAGCAAAGTACTAATTACTTTTTTATTTTTCTTACCTGCTTTATATTTTTTATAATTTATAGCTATAATTTTTCAAACTTTATTTTTTTCTAGTTATTTATGCTTTAATATATGATTACTTAAAAATAAAATAGTATAAATTATAGCTTTAGTATTAATAATCAACTATATATTTACCAAACTAAGTTTATAATATATACTTATAAAAATAGCTTATAATTATATAATAATATTTAAATAAAGTACTTGCCTAAATATAAACAAAAAAAACTAGGGTAGTTATATATAATTATAAGTAACTTAATAAATTTAGGGTATATTACTAGTAGTATATTTATTATTTTAATTACTATAAAATAAAAAAGGTAAAACTAATATTTATATAAATTAATAGTGTAAGGCCTATTGTACTGTATATAAACCTTTTATAAGACTTAAAGATATCCATGAATAGCTTCGCTCGCGGATAGCTAAGTTAGCCTTTAGGTACTAACTTAATATATACTAAGAATATTTAGCCTTTACAAGGCCAGAAATTTAAACCTTAATATTAATTTTAATATTTTTATTTTTTTTAAAAATTACTATTTATAAACCTTTTTTTAAGTATATTATATTTTATTATATTATTTATAAATCCTTAAGGCCAAGAACCTTATAATTTCAATACTTATTAATATATTTAATTTATTAAGGGTAATTTATATTTATACTATAAGTTACTTAAGCATTCTTGCGGTAATTAAAAGTAACCTTTTATAAAATTATTTAAAAAAAACTTATTTACTTTTTATAAGTAAACTTATTTATAGTTATAAAAAAAAATTTAAAAAATAGTAATTTAAATTTTAATATATTTTTATAAAAAAAAATAATAGCTAAAACTATTTATAAAAAATTAAAAAAATACTTATTTACTTAAAAAACTTAGCTTAAATAAGCTATGCTTATAAGCCACGCGGATTAAAAAGGCTAAAAAGGTAAAATAACTTATTTATAAAATTTATAAAAAGCTTTTAAAAAAGTAATTTATTAATAAATTTTATAAGTAATTTTATTTTTTTTTATAAAAAAAACTACTTATCTCGCGGCTGCCTAGTAAAAAAAAGTAATATAAAATTATTATTTATAGTAACTACTATGCCTTTAAAAAAAAGGTAAACATGTTTAAAAAAGTAAATAACTTTTTATAAAAAAAATATTAAAATTTATAATATTTTATTTAAATTTAGTTATACAGGGGTAATAGGCTATAAAAATAAAAATTTTAAAATATTTAACCTAAAATACCCTTTATAATTTTTTTAAGTAATTAAAAAACCCTATAAACTAACTACATGTAGCGTGAAGTAAGGTATTATATATAACTTTTAATAAAGGTAAGTTAAACTATATATACCTGTAATAATAAAAAAAGTAATAATTAAAACTAAGTAATTAAAGGGGTAAAATAAATATAATTCTTTTATAAATATTTTTTAAATTTTACTTACTTATAATAAAGCAAAAGGTTTATAAATAACTATACTTTTTAAAAATACTTATAAAACTAGTTTCCCTAGTTACTAAACTTTAATTAAATCTTTTTTTATAAGGTATATTAAGTATTAATTTAAAATTTATAAAAACTAATTTCTTGCAAAATAAGCACAAGGGGTTTTTATAAAAAATAAGTAATTATAAAATAAAAAAGCCCGCCTTTATAAAAAAAATAAAATAAAAATAGGAGCCTTAATATTACTATTATAAAAAAATTAAGTATATTAAGCTAAAATACCTAAAGCTTGTAAAAAAGGTAAAAAAGGTAAAAAATAAAAAGTAATATAAAAACCTTATAGTAATAGTAGCTATTACTAGTAAATAATTTTAGTTAAATATAAATTAAGTTATTATAAAATAATTATTTTTATTTATAAAAATTATATTACTTAATAAAGTAATTATAAATTATAAGGCCTTTATAAACTATAAAAGTGTTATAAATATAGTTTTTTTACTTTTTATAAAACAAGTAAAATAAAAGATTTTACCATGCTAAATTTTTATATAAGTTATTAATAATAAGCACGTGTAAAATAAAAATGTTATAAAGGTAAATATATACCTTTAAAATTTATATAAAACTTAAAAAAAGTTTTAGGTGCTTATAATAATATTATTAAATATAAAATAAGTAATATTAAGCATGCTATAACTAGAAATTTATAATCTATAAATAATTTAGGCTATAAAAAAATTAATTTTTATAAAATAAAAATATTATATAAAAGGGGTTTTTGCAAAGGAGTTTACTAAAGGTATATATAAAAAATAGGTTAAAACTTTTTAAATTAATATAATAAAAGTTAAATAAATAATATTAAGTAATAAGTTATTTAACTAGTGCTAGGATTTTATAAAGGTATTTT